AGGCCTCAGAGGAGTAGGGTTTAGGGGTTTAGGGGTTTAGGGTTTAGGGATTTAGGATTTAGGGTTTAGGGATTTAGGGTTTAGGGTTTAGGGATTTAGGGATTTAGGGTTTAGGGGTTTAGGGATTTACGGCCTAGGGTTCAGCCCTAAACACTACAGCGAAAGCCCTGGTCCCTTATCAGAAAAGTTTCTGTGGTGTTGCGAAGCATGATCTTCTAGGCCCTTGGGGATTCCACTAGGCCCTGAATTGGCCTACTTAGAGGTTCATGGTATAAAGTAACTCCTCAGAACTGCGGTGATAACTCCTTTGAATTGGGGTAGGTTACATAAGTGCAAGCATAAATCGTTACTAAGTCCCACGAACCTGTAGGTAGACAATTTTAAGACGGGCCCCATGCCTACAGCAAGGAAGATGCGGATTCCAAATTGGAGCATCAGGCACGGCACAACCTGAAGTCAGCAGTATTTTGCACGGCGTACCTGAACCCCAAGAGTATGTAGAACACTGTTCTTTTAGGTTTGGGGGGTTGGGGTTTGGGGTTGAGGTGTTTTAGTCTGGAGTAGTTTTCTGAAGTTGGGATATTTCATTCTGGTCCCCAACCCGAAGGGTCCAAGGACCGGGTGTTAGGGCCCAAAAACTATAGTGTTAATGGTATTAGGGGCCTAAAGCCTCTGTATTTGGGTCCTTGGACCCTCAGAGCAAGATTCAGCAACAGCAGGATCCTTCCCGCCCCCGGCTCTTGGGCATTGCAAGAAGAATCTAGTATTCCCTGGGTCCAGGTACCCCATAATTAGGTCTCTTCTTCGAGAGATATAGGGTTTAGAGTTTAGGGTATATAGGGATATTTAAGGTTTGGGGTAAGGGTCCAGGTACACAATAAGTAGGTACTTGGGATCTGGGGTCATAGTAATTATAGTCCGGGCTTTGAATAATACATCATTATCAGGTACTTGAACCCTTAGGGATTGGTTGGTTGCTTCATTGTGAATCGTGAGAGTTCCTGGGAGTCCTTTGTGTTGGTTTAAAGTTTAGGGTGTAGGGTTTAGGGTTTAGGCCTCCAGGAAAAAGCTGCTCAAGATATAGGGTTTAGGGTTTAGGCTAGGGAAAACGCAGTGTGCATTATCCACCATTTTGAGTATGTGATGTCTGGTATACCTGTAGCGAAGGCTGATAATGGAATGCATGCCCAGGGCTTTTTCAGAGCACTGAACTCTTGAGGTCAGATTTGGAACGCTTTGCCCCAGGCTTTTCCGGAACACTTTCAGAACACTATTCGGACCACAATTACTTTCATTTTGCATACTCTCATCTTTTACATTCTTGATCTCGTAAATGCCCATGTTATTATCTGGGTATATGTACAATAGACTGAACTCCTAGTATCCCTCTAAATAACCCCTATAACAATCCCCTATATCATCCCTACATAATGCCCTTTAAGGAGGTTAGACTTTTGTACATATGAGGAGAGCCCCTTCTTTGGGAATTTCTCAACTGATTTCTGCGTCACCAAGCCTCAGATACCGATGCCGCACCCTAAATGCTGTTTTTCCTCTTTAAAGGGAGCCCAAAAAGTGCAGCTAATTTCCGCATCCCCAAACAGCTTTCAGATATTGGTCATGCTGGACTATTTTAACCCTAAGCCTAAACCCTAAGCCGTAAACCGTGTGCTTCAGTACTTGCCACTTCGGCTGCTCATCGCTAGAAAGCCAAGGTGATGCCCGCACGTCCAAAGACAGCTTTGAGCTCAAACCCTAAACCCTAAACCCTCCCTAAGGGTCCATGTCCACAATATTTGGGTACTTGGGATTTTGGTACTAGGAATTATAGTACAGGTTTTGGGTAAGTATATGATTATTGGGTACTTGGACCCTTAGGGCCTTTCACCCCAAGACAGGGTTTAGGGTTTAGGCTCTAGTCGTGAGGCTGATGGTGAGGCTTATTTGGAGCTTTTTCGGGGACGTTTACTCTTTGGGGTTTAGGGTTTAGGGCATTGCAGTGCGGGGTCCAGTAGCGTCAGGCATCATCTTGACGATCAGTACTGAGTACATAGCCAGGAACATGGTAATGCGAAGTGTAAGCCCTGTTTTGTCGCGCAGCCTACGACTGGAAGCCCAGAGACAGTGCGTCAACTATAGTCCCCCTTAAGTAGATAGAATATCGCTTCGGGTATATTAGAATAAGATCCCCATATACCCCATATTCTATCTACTTAAGGGGGACTATAAACATAGAACACTCAACTTGCGTTGCTCTCTGTCTAGTGTAGACTCAGAAAAAAAGCTTCAAGCCTGAAGCCTAAGCCCCAAACCCTAAGCTTCAGGGCTCAGGGTTTAGGTTTAGGGTAAACCCTACCTTAAACCCTATAGGCCCTAAGCCCCCAACCTGTCACCCTAGGGTTGATGGACATGATTTGGGTACTTCTCCGCCTCTGCAACAGTCGGATAATATGTAGAATACAGTTATAGGGTTTAGGGTTTAGGGCTTCTGTTGATGGATCTTGCACCACCTAGGGGTCCTACATTACTGTAATTCCCAGGACTTTAGGGACTTAAGGTGGTGCAAGATTTCCTCCATCAACAGTGTGTATAATATTGTTGTACACAGCCCTTAATAGGACCCCTGATACAGAGTGTTAGAGGGTGGGGGCAGTAACACTCCTACACCTCTTAATCTTGAGGCTTTAGAAAGCCCCTGGTAGATAGCCACAAAACCCTCAACCCTAGACCATAAACCCCAGACCCTAACACCGACCTTCAAAACATAAGCAGCCAAATATACGTTTTCTAAACATGTTGAAGACAAGTATGGATATATAAGCCCCTAATTAAACCCTAAACCCCTAAACCTTAAACCCTAAACCCTAAGCCCCTAAACCCTAAACCGCACTAAGCCCATCAACCCTCCACTGTGAAACCCATGGCACCCGCCGCGCTGCTGGGCGCCGCCCGTGTAGGCACGAGGCTCAGGAGCCCTATAGGGGTTAATGGGGTTTATATGGGTTTAAATAGGGGTTAGGGTTTAGGGTTTAGGGTTTAGGGCTTAGGGTTTAGGGTTTAGGGTTTAGGGTTTAGGGCTTAGGGTTTAGGGTTTAGGGTTATATAGGGGTTAATAGGGGACCATGGAGGGTCAAGGGAAAAGAAAATGGTGTTTGTTTCCAGTACTTGGAGGTTCATGGGACTTTGTAACTGGCCTTTATAACTGGGGCTATAGCCCTCTTATGTAGGTAAGCCCTACCAGGTTACTTGTGGGTGCTTGACCCTACGTTGCTCATAAGTCATAAAATATGGTATTCCAGTATACTAGGGTTGTTTAATGTCTAGGGTTTGGTGTTTGGAGTGTGGGGTTGAAGGTGTGGTGGGTTTTGAATGTAGGCTTGTGGGTGCTGGGTTTAGCCATGTGTAGGGTTGAGGGCAGCATGCGGCCTCTAAACCGAAATCCTAAACATGTAGCAGGGTGGAGCCCGTCAAGACACCGATTGTCCAGATGGCGTTTCGCTCTAGGCCTTTGCACTTATTCTCATCAACCCCTAAACCCTAAACCCCAAACCCTAAATATTCGGCCCATGACCCCTGTTGAGTAGACTTACTAAGTCAAGGGAGCCGGAAAGTTCAAACAGCATGTGGACGTGCGGGCGCCTATCGTGGAAAGATGGCAAGGTTTAAGGTTTAGGGCTTAGGGTAAGTAACATCTACAAGCACCGATGAAACGCCACCCAGTACCAGGATGGGCTATTAGACCTTAGAGGGCCCTTCAGCTACCCTTGTTAAGGTACTAACAGGGATTTTTAGGGATACTGGTAAGGAACTGCATTTGATCAGTCGGGTAGCTGTAGACCTACTTAGATGGTACTTAGGTGCTATATGAGCTTTTGTCTCAACTCCGGGTATTTCCTCTATAAGCCCTATGATAATACTGCCCTAGATCATCCCCTTTACGACCCCTTTTAAGGAGCGTAGACTCTGGCTCATGTGGGAGTTGTACCTTCATTGGGGGGCTGTCCCAATGTAGGGACCCATGCATGGAAATTCCCACATCATTTCAGGATGCTGGCTGGTGTTTGCGTGTATGGGTTTATCTGATTCGTATGAGCCCTGCATCATGCCAGTGGGGCGGATAGCGGAATTCTCAGTTGGTGTGTGGTTGACTTGGAGGCTCTATGGATGTTGTAAGTCTGCATGCCATCCTCGATATCCTTAAGGTCCAATACTTCATAATCATGATATACTTACCCAAATCATGTACTGCAATTACTATACTTAAAATTCCAAGTATCTAATTATTTGGCACTTGGACCCTTGGGCTATGCGAGTCCCACGACCCCTATTATTACTAAGTCGGCTTACTAATTAAGACAAGAGAGCCTCAAACAAGGTCCGGGCTCTTTCGGCTGCAATCGCACCATTTCTGTGAGCAACTATAGACCCGAAGGGTTAAGGGTGTAGGGCTCAATCTTTTGGGTTTAGGGCTTAGAGTTGGACACAAGGCCCAGCTGCTTTGCGCGGATGTCTTGCCGGCACGACTTGTTGAAGTTGCTGCTTGCACAAAGGCTCTTATGCATTTTTAGGGTTTAGGGGTTTACGGTTCAGGGTGTAGGAAACCCTCAGCCCTAAACCGATGAACAATGCTGCCCACCCAGGGTGACATACATACATACATACATACATACATGTGTGTGTATCCTTTAAACCCCTGTTTCCATACCATGTTTTCCATTCTATTCTTCACTATTCCGTAGACCCTAAGCCCTAAGTAACAGTTTCCAGGCTATTTTCCTCGTACTTCTCAATTAGCCCTCAATTTCCCTGGTTGCTGGCTCAAGCGAGTGAAGGGAAAACCCCCCTGTCTCAGCCCTATGGCACTGGGCTAAGACGTGCTTCTGCCGCCCCTCATGCGCGGGGCGAAGACGTCGCCCCAGCTGCATTTAGGGATTTGCGGAAGTTACGGGGTTTTTTGGTGGCGGTTTAGGGTCCCTGCAGTAATAAGGATTTTAAGTTACGTCCATGAGCCAAAAATACGAATTTCAGGGTGAGGGGGCGGGTCACGAGGTGTTCTTACCTCCCTGCTGACCAGATTCACCATTCGAGCGCGCTTGAACAGAAAGTACCTTTGCGGGTTACACCACAACTCCATCACAATTTCCAAAGCTCACAATGTCCATGCTTCAAAAGACCCACACACCAATTGAGGACTTATATGTAGTCTTCGGAGGAAGGTTCATCACATTCTTTAACGTGAATACCCCCGCTTTTTTGACAGCTGAGTTCATTTTTTTTCGCTTTCAAGTTCAAATACACCTACACCCTAAACCGTATAGGGCCCAAAAAAAGGTGGATACTTAAAATCCTGCGCGAACCTAAGCAACCTAGGCCTCGGGAACTGCTGTGCTATCATATACTAAAGTCATGCAGGATTGTTTAGCATCAACAGAAACAATCAAACATGATGGCTGCAGGCTCCAAATACCCAAATCTGAGAGCTTTTGGTACCTAGAACCCTAGTATGTGGTTTTTGGACCCTGAGGGTATAATACCAGGAGGGGCTGTTGGACCCTATGATTCCGTCTTAGTATCCAAATCAGTGCGTGCTCATGAGTTTCAGGGTGTAACCGCCGAATCCTGTGGGTAAACGGTGAACGTCCTTCGGCTTACGCAGAGCCCGGCATTGTAGAACCCCGACTTGTAAATAACATGGTCTAAATTCCGTATATAATAGTATAGGGTACCTCAAACAGATCTAAATGATATTGGTAGTGAAAAAGGCGTCCACTTTCCATAAGCCATGCAAGCCCCTTAGGAAATCAGGTTCGATTTTCTGTGCACATTATCTTCCGGCTTGTTTCTCCATTGTCGGTGATTTTTCGGGCCGTGCACTGCGTGTGTCGTAAGGCATGAAGCCTGATCCTGGAACATTGTCACTCTCCACAGTGAAGCCCCGTTAGTCTAACAGGTTATACTGCAGGGGGCGAAGATTCCAGAAGCCCAAACAATTGCCAACATTACAGTAAGGCTTTGGGCTTAGGATTTAGGAGTTAGGGCTCAGGGTTTAAGGTTTAGGTTTTAGGGCGTAGGCTTTACTAATATTATGAAATTTTGTGGTTTAGTGCTTAGGGCCACGGGATGGAGGAGATTCAGAGAGAAAAGAACATGGAAAATGTATTGGTATGGGGCTTATACAAGCCATAATCTGAACTCCCTAAACAGGGGTTATACAGGGGATCATATACTGGAGCATTATAGGCTTATTGAGGGGGGGTTAGGAGTTTAGACTATAGCTCATATAGGAGTGTATACTTGGATTCCTACATATTTTTGGTGGGTTCAGGTAGGAATCATTACCAATTTTGCCATCCTAGTTCCCTCCCTAAACCCTGAGCATCCCTGAACTAACCCTAAACTTGATCCCCAAACCCCTAACTTGAACCCAAACCCTAAATCCGCGCTGTATAGTGCGGTCCTGGATCCCTTGTGTGAGTATGGTATAAGGCAGCGCAAGAGACCTCAACATGATATTGGTTGGGTTTTTCCCCTTTACAATAACAGTTACTTAGTTAACACAAGACTTAACAGGAATCATAATGGTCCCTTCATACAGCCCCCTTAAGACAGTTACTGTGAGGGGGAGTTTGAATGACCTCAGACATTGGTAACTGTTTCGGCTGCTAGAGTAGCTGCGAGCTGTTTTCCGTCTCGCAAACCTTAATGTCCAGTGTTCCGCATGGTATTACCTCAAAACCTAGTCGTTCTTGAGAAACGGTGAATCCCTACGATAAGTCCTGTATGATTAGGAGGTTCAGGGAGTGTAGGAAGTTAATGAAGTTCCGGTAGAAGACCAGTTAAGAACATAGTTAACTGGCGTTCTTTTCCTTAGCCCCTCTATAGCTCCATCTTGCCTACAGCCCAGGAACCTAGTGACCTAGTTCTAAGGCAAGGTATGGCAGCCAGCACCAATGACTCGATAGATCTTCAGTGTTTGTGGGTTCTACCTAATAAGTACCCTCGGGGCCTCAGGGCTCATGCTTAGTTCGTTTGTAATTGTTTTGTTGTGACCACATACCCAAAAACATAGTTAACCAAAACGGAACAACAAGCAGTATACAATTACCTCCATTTGAACTCCTCTCCTGTAGTTTGTCCTGAATCCTAAACCTTAAGCCCCAACACCCCATACCTTACAACCTTAAACTCTAAAGCGTAAAGCCCTAAACCTTAAAACCCTAAGGCCCCAAATACCTTAAAACCCTAAAACCCTAAACCTTAAACCCTAAACCTTGCCACTCCAGGCTATTCATTCTACTAGCAGAGCAGGTCTGCTGGGCGTTCGAGGACCTGAGGGGTCAAACCTTGAAGACTACTTGGGGGGCCGGTTGGGTTTAGGATTCAGGGTCCTTGAATGCGGCTATAGGGATATGTAGGTTAGTAGGGATAAGGAGAGTAGTGGGGTTTAGAGTTCAGAGTTACGGGTGTTGGGCTTTAGGATTACTAGGGCCCCGACAAAATTTGACAAGAACCAACAGAGCTACTATTCGACATGCCTTTGGTATGATATTTTGGCTAGATGGGGCCACGTACACTGAGGCTCTTTGACCCTTATAGTGATCGCAACCTTAGCCCTCAAAGCCCAAGACTTCCCCAAGACAGCCCCAGAAAAAGTCCCAGGAGCCTTTGGGTAGACCATAGCATTGATAATTGGGGCGTAGGTTTGGGGTGTTGGGTTTTCCTGGGGGTTCTTCCCACTTACTAGGTCTCATTGCTATCCTTAAATAATCCCCAATATCAATTCATAGCCCCTATAAGCAGACGGAACAAACCACGAGAGCCTCCAGGTACGGCTTCAGGACCAATGGCGGCGCCTAACCACCCACTACATAATAGTCGTACAGAAAAAAGGTAGAGACGCTACTGGAGTTGCCCTTCCGCGCGCTCTTTTGATTGAAGCCCTAAACCCTATAAACTCTCACCAAAAAACCTTTAGCCTCACCCAATCTGAAGCCTGGACCCTAGCCATTCGCAGGTCAGCCACGCCTTCAGCAGTAGGCACGCCTCGGATGTTGCTTCTTGAGTTGGGATGAAAGGATCATAGGATCATTTACTGCCCCGACCCTAAGACCTAAGGCCCCAGTAGTGTCCAATTTAGGACATTTCTGGGACTTATTGGGGTTGAGGCGTGTAGGATGGGGGTAGTACCGTACTGTTGATGGAGGGTATCTTGCACCACCTACAGCCCTCAAACTATTTTTCTAGGATTTCTGGGCTGTGGGGAGGTGCAAGATTTGGTAATTTACCAAAGTAGGTGGGCCCCAACATAGACCCCCAAATACTACAGTCCTTACTATGGGGACCCCCAAAAAGGTATCCTTATTTTGGGAAACCTCTATTTCTTCTTCTACAGTATGGCATCCTATGAGAGGCAGCACGGTCCCAGAAAACTTTGCGGAGGTTGGTCCTCGGTTCTTAGCAGGGAACAGGGGAAGGGGTTATTCTTGGATCATGTATGGATGACTTCAGGTGTCCATTCTCTCAGTCTCTTGTAGGTGAGTTTTGCTTTTTTTGGGGAGGGCAGGATAGGGATTATATGGTTGGGGGGTCCTGGGTTTGAGGGTTTAGGGTTTAGGGGGTTTGCCGTGGGAACCCAGGGGCCTCCAGCACCCAACACAAGCACTCAAAGTCCAAAATCCCACGCACTTGGGACGTAAGAAATGGCTCCCGAGTCGTACTGTTGACGCATGAAATCCTGCACCACCCTACGTTCCCTATGTCCCAGGAGTTACAGTAGATTATGGACCCTAGGTAGTAGTTTAAGGACCCAAGGAAGTGTAAGATTTCCTCCATCAAGCAGGATGGGCTGTTAGAGAGCCTGTGATTCCTCATTTGGACCCGAACAAGCCTGCATTAATTTGGCTTCGAAAATTTATTTGCTAATACTCCAGAAGTTCCCTAAACCCTAAACCGCAAACTCTACTGCGAGGATTGTTGTGCTGCTGTGAGATGAGAACTAAGGGCTTAGGGCTAAGGAGTTTAGGGTTTCGGTTTGTTAGGGTTTGGGGCTCAGGTTCGAGGATTGGGGTTCAGGGTTTAGGCTTTAGAGTCCAGTCTTGGACACTAGGTCACTACCCCACTTCCATCCACTAGGGTTTGGGAATACCCGAAACCCTACACCCCAAACTCTAAGCCCTCAGGCGAGCTTCGCTTTCAAGAATGGCCACACGGTTTTAGTATTCGGGAGGGGGATCGTTCGCGAAACCAGTGACACCAAAGCCTGCTTGATATGAGCTGTAGTCTAAACTCCTTGAAGGGGGTTATATAGGGGTATACTAGGGAATTATTGCAGGGGTTTTTAGGGGGGGATACTGGGAGTTTAGACCCTAAACCCTAGACCAGGGTTTCTTAAGGGGGATACTGGGAGATTAGATTATAGCTCATAGGGGAATTTCTCAGAATCAGAGGGGGGCCCCAAGGTTATATGTGGAGGTCATTATCAGGGATTATGGGGGACCTAGGGTTCAGGGTTCAGGGTTTGCACAAAAAAAAAACAAACGTTCAAGGCGTGGAAATAGCGTCTTTGGCTAATGGCTTGTTTAGGCTAAATGCCGTGCCTTATCTTTCCCTGGGTTTTAGGGTTTTGGGTTTTGGGTTATGGGCTTCCTTGCAGTTTAGGGTTAGGGGTTAGGGGCAAGCATGGCATGTTTCTCAGCACAGCAAGGGCCATCAAACATGGACCCGCTTCTACGCACTAGGTAGGAGAAGCAAGCTATGTGGGTTTGGGGTAATTATCTGATGGTCTCTCACGACTTATGTTTCCTATTACAGCTACCAATCTAACCCAGGTTAGGATTTTATGACCATAATAGGGATATAAACCCAAGAAATCAAAGAGCATCTACCCTCCCAGGACTAACGTCATGGACCCTCACGAGTAGACAGTCTTGGATTTTGGGGGTGCTATGGTCCCCAAATGACGCGGTTTAGGGTTTAGATCCGATCTTTTCTTCCGTATGGGAAACATTCTAGTACTTGGCTAAACGACAGATAAAGCTGCTCTCCCCAGACCCCTCAGAGGATCCGGAAAGTAGAGCCTCGCATTATAGTACCCTACCCTAAGCCCGAAACCCTAAACCCTCATATACTATTATTGGGTAATTTCCAGGTTCCCTTGTGTGGGGGATTTGCTTTCTGGATCCTAAGCCCTATAAACGCTAACCCTAAGCCCTAAACCCGAAACCCTCATCCTACAGAGAGACCTGCCGTAGAGGCCCTCGAGAAATTCGTTTTCTGTTGAAGAGGGTTTAGGGGTATGCAACAGTCCCCAAACTCCTCACCCACGGGGTCCAATACAACAGAATCATTTAAGTTGGGTCTCTTATCGCATTATCCGTTAGTTCGCATATGATAATTACATACTTCGGCTTCTTAGGGTAAGCTCTATGTGGCATCTAGATACCTGGGATACTCCCCATGGAAACCTGAAGAAGAACACGAAAGCTACTTTTCAAATTCAGAAAGAACCCTAAGGATCCAAGTACCTGATAACCTGTACTACAATTACTGCTACCCGAAACCCAGTAGCTAATTATTGGGTACTTTGACCCTCTGGAGAAATGTACTGCAACCCTAAACCCTAAACCCTAAACCCTAAGCCAGGTTTGCACAGGTTGCCTGGACTCCTCGCGGGGAGGAGGCTAGGAGGGAGGGTTTAGGGTTGCAGGTTGAGGGTGTATTAGGGGCCCTAAACTCTCAACCCCTAGACTCACCTAAGGGTCCAAGGACCCAAATAATAGGGCTTTAGGGCCCAAGTACTATGGTATTAATGGTATTTGGGCCCTAAAAGCCGATTATTTGAGTCCTTGGACCCTTAGGAGTCCCCCTGAAGTAGATAGAATATGGCTTTGGGATGCTTTGGGTATATTATAATAAGATCCCCTATCATATACCCCATATTCTATCTACTTAAGGACTCTAACCCCTAAACTCTACATATACCCCCACATTCTATCTACTTACTGGGGGGCTAGGAGCCGTAAACCCTAAACCCAAACCCCCAAACCCCGGCAAACTTAAGCATAGATCCCAGATTCCTCGAGCTGGGCTCTAAGAGGGTTCAGGGTTTAGGTTTAGGGTTTAAGGTTTAGGGTTTAGGGTTTAGGGTGTTTCCAAAAGATGCGGGCCTGTAAGCAGGATTATTGCACCCTAAACCTTGGGTACTGCCCCCACCCAGTAACAGTCTATGTTAGGGGTCCTATTAAGGGCTATATATAACCATATTATATGTATTATCCAACTGTTAGTGAGGGAGGCAGTACCCAACCTAGACCCTAAACGCGGTTTAGGGTTTAGGGTTTAGGGTCCATATCTTGGCTTTGTAGGGTCTGGCAAGTGCCAACGGGGATTGCCAAGGTCCAAGGGCCGAAGGAGAGGGTACTGTCTTAGGTGGACCCCCAGTTGGGGGTTTAGGATTTAGGTATTTAGGGGTTACGGTTTAGGCTTGGGTGGACCTTCCACCCAGTATTAGTGACTATAAGTGATAGTAAGGATTATACTAGGGTCCTCTTATAGTCCTATTATTCCGAGTTCGTAATATTAAGCCCCCCCCTCCCCAAAACAAGTAGAGGATTCTAAATAGTCCGGGTCGGGTTGCCGAATCAAATTTCGGCAAACTTGTGTGTGTGTGTTGGGGGGGGATCTCGGGCCCTGTCAATTAACCTTCCATTGCCGGGGATCATTCCGGTTCTCAATTCGGTGAAAAGTTCGCTCAAATCCGTACCCGTTATTAGTAATCCGTTCAACCAAACGTTCACTCTATTACGAATCCATTTACCATTGCGGCCCCAACGCTACAGGGTGGAGGGTCCTCCTAAACTATGTCGTTAGGGCGGGTGGGTCCACAGGGGCTCGTACTGGGGAACCTTAGGGAATGTTGGGGCGCAGCAGTCATTGCCCCTTACATCAACAATTGCCATATTGGGTAGCGGGAGTTACTAGGCTCTCAAACCCCGAAACCTAAACCCCTAAACGCTACTTACCGCAAGGGGGAATGACCTAATCCATTACTTTGACAGGCTCCGGAGAGTGTTGAGACGCATTTTAGGGTTCGGGCTTGCGAATCCCATGGTTCATCAAAGACTTTACGTTTGTGCCTCTAGCTTTTGTTGTTTTTTACCCTAGGGCTTTGGGTCCGAACATAACATGCTTAAGGGTTATCTTCCATGGCTTTTGGATCCAGATGCAATGGTATGAACCCGTAGGGTAAAGAGGAAAACTCGCTAAGTACATGGGCTGTTATACCTGGAGCTGCGTAGGACTTTGTTGCGCAAGTTGTAAGTAGGGTTAGCACCCAGGTTGCAATTAGTTGCTGAGTCCCATCAGCCTCGTAGTAGCCATCTCCTCAGCGGCGGGCATGGTCTTCAGCAATCATATAACTTTACAGGTTATCTACCCCCCCCCCCCCTCTGTACAACCCCCTAAACATTCAGCCTACTAAGACTGGATTCAGGAGGTAAATAGGGTGTCGGGTTTAGGCTTAGAACTTCGTAGGGGGGAGTAGTACAGCGGGGTGATTCGGATAGCTGGGTGTTTGCAGTTGAAGTACGAGCTTCGATGAATCGTATGACTGTTGAGTTCCTAGGTTCTGGGGGTTCTATATTATAAAATTCTAGTACCCCATAATTGCTCAGCAGCGTGTTGCATACCTGGGAAGTCACTAGTTTTTGGTACTTCTCACTCTAATATTTGGGTACTTGGGCCCTTAGGGTTACTCACGACTCCACATGTCCGATGTCAGCTTTGATCCCTCACGTTGCTATTCAGAAGATTTCGATCCTATACTTGTAGCCCAAGGCAGCAGTCGGCGCGGATTAGGTCAGCGTCCAAGGACACAAATAATCTCACTTAACGGCCCAAGTATGCTAGTACCATTATCTGTGGTTTCGCTTCTGGGACCCCAATATTTGGGTCCTTGGACCCTTACGGTAAAAGTTCAAGCACTGATCACTGAATGTCAAAGCCAGAAGGCAGAATGCAATCATTTCAGCATTGACCCCTCATGCGGAATTTTGGGTTTAGGGCCCTAAGGTCCCAGTACCCAATAATCATATACTTACTAATAACCTGTATTATAATTATAACTATTGTTACCCATTTCCCAAGTAGCCAATTATTGGGTACTTGGACCCTTGAGGGGGTTCAGGGTCTCTGGTTTACTTGATTAGTAAGCTCCGCAGCCTACACCCTGGAGCCTTAAACCTAAACCCTTGAGCTCAGCAGAGTAAACCATAACCCGAAGTCCTTAGCCCTAAGTCCCTTTGAACCCTACCTGAACCCCAACAGTATGCAGAATGATTGCCTTTTGGGCTAGTTTTAGGGCTTTGGGGCTTTTATTTTTACCTATTATTGGGGTCCATGTACACCCTAAACCCTAAGCCCTAAGCATTTAAACCCCAAACCGTAAGCCTTAAACCCTTAACCCTAAACCCTGAGCCGTGACTCTTTGAGTCCAAAGTCCTGAGAGAGGTCCACCGGCGCAACCGCCTTCGTAATCATGACAGTTTCCTAGAGGCCCGTTCAGGGTTTGGGGTTGAGGGCTTTAGGGTGTAGGGTTTTTGGGCTTAGGGCTTAGGGTTTGGGGTTTAGGCCTAAACCCTAAACCCTAAGTTTAGGGCTGAGGGTGGCAGTTTCCTAGAGGCTGCTTTAGAGTTCAGGGTTTAGGGTGACAGTTTCCTAGAGGCCGGCTGAGAGACACTTTTAACTTCCTAGTTGCTAAAACCATAGTGCCTGACTCAATTTGGGAGAGAACTCCTCCGCCATTTCTCATATCCAGAAGACACAGCCAGCGTCACTTACCCTTTAGCCTAGGCCCTCATCCTCAAATACTAAACCGTAAGCCCTAAACCTTAACCCTTTCAGCACGCATATCGCGGGTGTAGGTTTTAGGACTTGCGCGGGGATCTGCAGGGACCCACGATTTAGGATTCAGGGTTCATACGGGTTTAGGTGTTCGATTTTAGGGATTAGTAGGATTTATGACCGATCTACACTTACCTGATCTACTCTTACAGTCATGACCGCGAGGTCATCGACTATTGAATCCTGGAGTTTAGGGTTTCGGGGTAAAGCATGTTAGAGCCCCTCAAGCCCTGGACGCTTTCTTGTTCTTGGGTCCAGAAAGTGTTTATGGAAGGCGATATTAGGCTTTATACAGTAGTTTCCATCTTATCTTTCATTATCCCTATATAACCCCAATATAAACCTTATATGAGCTATAGTCTAAACTCCTAGTATCCCCCTCAAGAACCCCTATTATGCTCCCCGATATAATGTCCTATATAACCGCCTTTAAGGAGTTTAGACTATAGCTTAGATAATCCTCTGTATTACCCCCCTTTGGGTTTAGGACTCACACGTTGAGCTAAGGGTCCCAGAGCCCAAGAGATAAGTTTTCGAGTTTTGGGTATTAGTAACCTTTGTACATTTTTTTGGGGGTTTAGGGTTTAGGGTTTATTATGATTATAGGGTTTAGGGTTGAGGGTTTAGGGTTTATAGGGTTTAGGGTTTATAGGGTTTAGGGTTTAGGGTTTATAGAGTTTAGGCTTTATAGGGTTTCAGGGCTTAGGGTTATGATTATTAGTTACTTAGGCCCTCTGGGTTACTCTTGGGCTGTAGTCCTGGATTCAATGGGTAGGGCTCTTCTTGTTCGAAGTGATTGACGTTCATGATGTTGAGAATGCGGTTGAGGTGAGAACTTGGAGCTCAAACCCTAAACCCTAAACCCTAAACCACAAGCATGCTGCCCTTTAAGCCGGTCTGTTTTTCCGAGGGTCCAAGTACTGAAAGATGAGGGATTTCTTAGGTTTTGTGCTTGGACCCTTCGGGCAACCCTAAACCCAAAAAGCAAAAACAACTAAACTCAGGGCTTTTGCAGTAGCTCACTCCATCCAAGCCCGGGCTTGTCCCTGAACCCTAGAACCTAAGAACTAAACCCTACACCCTAAATCCTAAACCCTAAACCCTACACTCTAATCCTAAACCTTACACTAGCGCTCTAAACCTGAAACGTGGTAGCCAAGCCCTCCTCTCGCCGTAAGCCCAAACCCAGCTTGGGTTGATAAAGGACTTGAGGGTGGGAACCGCTTTAGGGTTTAGGGTTCAGGGATTTAGGCTTTAGGTTTAAGGTTTAGGG